CCGTCAAAAAAACCATATTAGGAAACCAAAAACCAGCCTCGGAAAATCTGACTGTCTTAACATGGTAACGACTTCGGCTTTGTATAACGGACTCCATATCGGATCATGGGATGTTCGGAGCTTATACAGACCAGGAGCCACCAGGAGAAGTAAAAAGGTACAACATACTGTTAACAGTAATTGAAGAGGTAAGGTGGCCAGATGGTGGGGAAACCACTATAGACAGCTACACACTGTTCTACACTGGGAGAGACAACAAAAATTACCAGAAAGATTACATACTATAGAGGAAAACTGATAGACTGGAAATATATATGCGAATTCTTCGATATATATCAGGAAAGAAAGGGTAGGATATAAAGCGAGAAATACACAAATGCGATGGAAAGATGGCACATTGACAGCTTCAAAAGAAAAGATCCTAAGCATCTGGAAGGAAAACTGCTTAATCAAGAACACCCCACAAACGAAGAAGACAGGGACCCACTTGAGGTTGAAAAACCAGATATTCTCAATGTGGAAATAGCTATTGGCAGGCTTAAAAGAAGAAAGGCTCCAGGGATTGACAACCTACCATCAGAATCGTTCAAGGATGGGAAAGAATAACTCAGAGCCAAGCTGTTAGATCTAATCCAGAAGATATGGGAGAAGGAATAGATACCAGAAGCATGGAACACAGAGTTTTCCTATCCTTAAGAAGGGCTCCATGTATGAATGTAACAGAGGCATAGCACTTCTTCCGGTCTCCTATAAAATAATGACTAATATTCTCCTAAAGCGGATATATCCGTATTATGAAAACATAATAGGTGACCATCATACAGGATTCAGGAGAGGGAGGAGTACGCTAGATCAGATATTCATCCTAAAACAAGTACTTGAAAAACAATGAGAAGTAGATCAGGGCATGCACCCATTATTTTTCCACTTCAAAGCAGCCTATGACTCCGTGGACAGAAACTGTCTCTGGAAGATCATGACTAAGCTGGGTGTTCCCGGGAAGTTAGTGAGGACGAAGGCGGGTACTAATGATCCTAAATGCAGGGTACTAATGCAAGGAAAAGTATCTGAAGCCTTTAAAGTTCGAACGGGTTTGAGGCTGGGAGATGGACTCTCGCCGATGCTGTTCAACTTAGCACTAGAGAAAGTAATAAGAACAACATCACGCGAAGATGGAGGGGTGCACGTTGGAATGAAATACAAAATCCTAGCATATGCGGATGATATAGCTGTCCTCGGAAGTAATCCAGAGAATATTGAGAGACTCGCTCGGACTCTGTTAAAAGAAGCAGAGCAAATCGGACTACAAGTCAATGTAGATAAAACAAAATACATGATAGTTAGCCGAAACATCCACCCTAATAACATGATCTGCGTGGACTCTAAGTCATTCCCGAAAGTAGACAGATTCAAATACCTCGGCTCCACAATAACCTCAATAAATGATCAACTAACAGAGATAGACCAGCGAATAACAAGTGCGAACAGATCTTTCTTCTCTCTTTCAAGGGTACTGAAATCCAGAAAAATCTCCAGAAATCTAAAAATAAGGGTGTACACCGCCGTGATTAAGCCAGTTCTGCTGTACGGTTGTGAAACCTGGGCTCTAACCGGCACATTAGAAGCCAGAATTGAGAGATTCGAAAGAAAAGTTCTACGTAGGATAACAGGACCTATATGGGACCAGAACCTTGACACATGGAGGAGAAGGAACAATAAAGAACTGCTGAAAGAAATGGGTCAGTCAATATCTCATGACATGAAGGCAAGGAGGTTAAGATGGACGGGGCATTTAGCTCATAGCAATCCATCAGGATGCCTTTACACAACAATAAATGCCAGAGTAGTAGGCAAGAGACCACGTGGGAGCCAAAAACCAGATGGATAGATAGGATAAACAAAGATACAGCTGAGCTTCATGCCGCAAACTGGAAAGCAGTAGCCCAAGATAGGCAGAGGTAGAGAAGGCTGGTTTAGGCGGCCAAAGATCTACAAGGTCTGTAGAGCCAACCAAAAAAAAAAAAAAAAAAAATATATATATATATATATATATATATAATATATAAACAAATATTCATCAAATAAGCTGTAACTACTGAAGTTACTGAAAATCCACAACACTCTTGCAAGGATCCTTTAAATTACAGTGCTATCAGAACTTTCTGTGGTTCTGTCAATCTATAGTTCCTTTTGTCTTGAAATCCCACTATGAATTCCCAGTTTATTAAAAGACTGAAATAATCTCAGATTTTTGAAACTACATCATCTTCAACTGAAGTATCTGGAATATTCCATAAGATACATGGTTATTGATTTAGCAAAAAAATAAACAACATAATTGATAAACAACATGATTTCTATTAGATTGACAGATTTTTTTATATTAAATTTTCATATCCTATCTTTAATCGTAAAATCTTAAATTTTGAGGGGAAGGGGAAATAAAATTTGTTTACTTAGACAATTACAAAGGTTCATTACTAAAATCAAAACAACTGTCATACCTTCAGAGGAATTTTGCTTCCTCATTTTTTCTTGTTTTGAGGTCCTTAGTTCATTTTTGCAGTTTGGCCACTTAACACTGAAACACCCTGTATGTATACAGGGTGTCAGGTATGTAGAGAGAAATTTTTATAGGAGTGATAGCAGACCTCAAGAGCTACAACAAACTTCATATAAACAATTAGCCAATTTCCAGCAGAAAAGTAGGCAATCCAACTTGTTTTTTTTTTACCCTTTAGATGCGCAAAGTCAATATAGTGGCTCCGGAAATACCATGCCCCTAATGCGCAGAGCCAATATATTTGCTTCAGCTTTTTATCGTTTAGTTGCGCAAAACCAATACTCCGGCTCATTAAAGAGCTCTCTATCGGGTGTCCATGTGACATAAGTTGTTGCTGAAACCATTAGATAGCCAGAGATGTATTATTTAGTCGCGGAGTATATCTGCTTCCACCCCTATATCACCTTTCTCTAGTCTTTTGAACACTGTTTAGCTGTAAAACTAACAGCAGTTGGTAGTGTTTTATGTAAACATTACAGTATAATGTAAGACGATCAATAAATTATAAAATTAAAATATAACAATTTAACTGTTTATTGAAATATGAGCTAACATCATGTTAAAGAAAAATGTATAAGACAGTTATAATAAAAAAAAACATGTTTTAATGTGAAAAGTGTAAAATGACTGGAGGAATTCAATGAATAAATTCTGCGCACACGGGGTTGGCTATACCTTCAGTACCCCGCGCTCACCGGACCTGACCTTGATTCAGGCTCCGCATAACTAAAGGGTTAAGTAAGTCATGTTTTTTGTTTAATAGGAAGTGATAACTAAAGAAATATTTAACTTAAACCTTGAACAACACTCTTAAATACGTCAACTCATTCGACACTCTGGGGTGTGGTATATCCCAAACTTTAAATTATCATACAATTTAATTGCTATGCTCTGGATGGAAAACTCAAATACTTTTCAGAAATAAGCTAAATAATCAGGAAAGCAAATAAATTAATAAATTAAATTTTAATTTAATCTTAGAGAATATATTTTATATGCTAACAAAGTAAAAAGTTACATCTACTCTGCTAAAAATAAAGGATCAATATTTTTTCATTGAAAATACATTAAGTTTATATCAATTAAATTTATATATTTGGAATTTAAAATATATACATAATAAAGGGCAGAAATTTTTTTTATTTAACAAGATAATAAAACCTATAGTGCGGCCCATTTACGTGACCACTCACAACAATTCAAGCAAACTGTCATCCTGTGTTCATTGCAGATAGTTCTCTTACATTGCTGACAAAACACTTTTGTCTTCACATCTTTTCCTCTCGCGCAAAATAAATATTTGGATTGTTTTTCCATCAGTAGTTATTTATTTTTCAATTCCCAAAATTTCTTTTATGTTGAAACATACCGTTCGTGTGAGTGTATCTGATTGCAGTCTTCTTTTCAAACAGAGCTCAATTAACGAATAGTCTAATCCAAATAAATAATTTCTCCATTTCAACTTCTTTTCCCAGTTAACTAAACTAAACAATATCATGCTGTTTATACCAGTATGGTTCAACATTCCAAAGAAAAATCTGAGACAACCTATTTTTTTTCTTGCTGTTAACAAACATGACACATTTGATCAAAAGTTACTGTGCCATCTTTATTTAATATGTTCCATGCAACTTTTATTCATCTTATAACTCCCATAACAATTTATGGATTTCTTCAGGAGAAGAATGCATTTTTTTTTATAGTTGCCATACTAAAAAAATAGTTTCTATACAGGATAATACTTTTAGGAGAAAGGATTAAAAATCACCTAATTTTTTTATTCTATGTAAGGGAGAATTTTAAGTTTTTGCCTAATAAACCTCAGCTTAGTTAATATGGACTTCAAGCTTATGAAACAAGGAAGTTTTTATAAAAGTGGGTTAGATGTAGTACATTTAAAGGGTGATAACACAAATTAAAAATAATTTATTACTTTTTTTTAACGGAACTCAGCTGTGTTTGTCCGCCCAATAGTCCTGTTTAAATAGTTTTAACAATGACAAACTCTACTTTCGTTTAAAGTAAATTTTATCTTGTTTACTTTGGAGCAATGTTTAGTTACTTGAGTAAAATATTTTTTAATTCATTGCTTCCTATTCGACAGAAAACATGACACTTAAAAAATCATTAAATTTGAATTTCCTACTTTTCTTGCAAAAATCGGACTAATATTTATGTCTACTATCAATCTTTTAAATATTTCCCTCTACTTGTGGCACACTCAGTATAATTTATGTTTCTAATGATAGACTTATGATATTGCATATAAAAATGTTGATTAACTATTTTTTTTTTTTTTTTTATATAGTTTGAACATTCATATATTCAATTGAAATTTTAAATTCATGGCATTAAATTACAAAAATAAATAACTTGATATTTCTCAAAAATAGGAAGATTTAGTTCTAGAGCTTTATATAGCATTATTTTCTTCTAGGAAAAATCTCATGATGAAACCGAAGGAGATCAAGAAACAGTTTTAAAACAAAGAAAATCTAAACCCAGTAAAAATAATTAATTTTTTATTTATTTTGTTCAAACAGTTTTGTTTATTTGTTTATCTTTGAGTTACCAAAGAATAAATATTTTGTAATATGTGTGGCAGAAGATGCAAGTATTTATTATTTGTAACATTTGATATTTTTTGTATTATTATGAGTAGCTGTTTATCTATTTGACGTAAACTTTTGTTAATTTTATTTTAATTTTTTGTGTTACTATTTATTGATCTATGATTTTGAATTAAAATATTCAGCTATTTACTAAAATGTTGTGAAGATACTATGTGAATTATATATTTGTGAAACAACTGTTTAGGCAAATGCCATTAATATGTTATGATACTTAGTATTACTAATGGTGTTGATTTAATAATTAATGACAAACCATCCAATTTGTACCTTGCCTTCTAATAAAATTGTTTCAAAATAACAATTATTATTATAAAAGTATAATAATTAATATTATTAGTGATATGAATATAGTAATCAATGGTATAATACTAATAAATTGTATCTTACCTCAGATAATTTTTTCCTATAACATGTAAAAAATATTTTCTCAAACTTTCCATATTGATTTTACTAAAAATAGTACACCTGTAAAAAGGTAACTATTATATACCATCTATATATTTATGTGTGTGTGTATATATATATATATATATATATATATATATATATATATATATATATATATATATATACATACACTTTTTTTATTTTTAGCCCTGATAAATTCGTAACACATTCGTATAGTTCACTGAAATTGGTAGCACTTGACCTTTTGTAATGAATATTTTTGAATATATTTATTTAAAGTCTGTTGGTAGCTTTGCAGGTATAAAATTTTCAATAATTATTTTTCGAGATAGTAAAATATGTTTATTGATTTTTTTTGTCCTTATAAATTACTATAATTCATAATTCGTGATACCTTAATTGTTAATAATTAAAATTAACCTTAGAACTTATTTGATTCTATGTAAGTAGTATAAAATAATTTTTTTGTTTCAAAGTTAGAAATTTATTATTCTGTTATTTTTTAATATTTCTATGATTTACATAATATGAACAAAAATTAATGATTATTTAATTTAACTAGACATTTTTATTTGATGAAAAATAGTATATTTTAAATTATTTGTGTTATTTTGAATTTTAAATTATTGAGTCAAGTGTTGCTCGTTTCATTTAACTAAATGGATACTCTCAAAAAAACTTCCTTGAGACAGCTATGTTGCTTAAAAAATAAAAATAACAAATAGCAAATGATTTCAGTTTCATTATACAAAACAGTATTAAAAAAAAATTAAAATCATTTTTCTCATTTTGAATGTAATATACTGAATTAAATGAAAACTACTTTAATTACGTATTTTTTTTTCAAGTTTACTACTATCAGTAGTAATATTTTATATTTGGCTTATGATGACTACCTCATCCTCATGCTACTTTTTGATTTTTTTTTTTATAATAATAATTTTGAACCAAAAATAATTTATATTGTTTTGTATTTATATTTTATCTCTCAAAGATAAAATACTATTTTATTTATTGTTGTTTCTATATGTATTATATAGATGTAGGTATTTAATGACTATTTAAACTTCTTATTGGTTATAAGACAGTTTTTAATTTTAATAAAATAGTTATAACCATTGGATGTTAAATATGATGGATTTTTCAATTTGATTCAGCTTAATATTTACTTTTGTGGTTATTTTATTTAAATATTTGTAAGTTAAAGACTGAGTTAAGAATCTAAATAGTAATTAAAACTATCTTTAGTTTTCAAACTGATTTAAATAACTACAAAGTATTCAGAGTATATCATTCAGAATTTTAGGTAGGGATGTTCATGAAGTGATAAATATTTGTCATATTCATATTTATATTTACATTATTATTTTGTTCTGCATTTAAAAGTTTTTACTTTATTTTGATATTATTGAAAATGTCAACAGTTAAAAAGATAAATTTATTTGATGAAGTTAAAAAGCTCACATATACTAGAAATAATTAAACTTGAGTTTTTAAAATTGTTTATTACAATATAAAAAAAAAATTCTATTTGTTACTTAAAAGTGAGTTGAAATAATATTAATAATATTTAATGTATACCAACAGGGTTCCTCAGTTTTAAGAAAAGGTACCTCAGATTATCATAGTTGTGCCTTTCAGAATAATGATGTTTGTTTACAAATGCTTATTTAGTAGAAACTTTGTTTCTTGTTTTGTTAGTTGTTATTAATTCCTTAAATTCACTTACTAGTATTTCACCCTTTAAATATTTGTTTCCTTTGATATTTTATCTTTTTTCATGAACTTTTTTATAGTTATATTTACTATAGTTTTATATATATATATAATCTGTTTTGGAATTGATTGCTTCCTTTAAACCCTTAGATTATTCTGTATATTTCTAGTCAAGAAGAATTGAAAACCTTTACTCGATCTTATACTGTGCAACACATGATTTTGTATTGCAATTTTGATAAATTAATCAGTTCCCACTGGTGTTGTATCACTATTGAGAAATAAATAATTTTTTTTTTTTAATGATTTAGATTCCCTCTCTCCTATCTTCCTTAACTAATTAAACATAATGAATATATATAAAGAATATGGGCAGAAAATAGAAAGACCTAAAAGCTATATATATGTGTGGTCCATCATTGGCCTTTTTCTTGATAAATAAATTATATATATACCAAACTTTCTTTGGAGTCTTAAATTTTAGTTATTTAAAATTCAAAATGTAATTCTCATTCAAATAGCTCCTTAGTTTAAGTTCATAAAATAAGTAATAATAATTATAGCATTTCCAAGTCAATTTCAACCTTTTCCAAGTCAAATTCAACCTTTTCCAAATCAAATTAAACTTTTTCCAAGTCAAATTCAACCTTTTCCATTTCAAATTCAACCTTTTCCATTTCAAATTCAACCTTTTTTATTTATTTAATTATCTTTAATTTTTCGATGTGTGGGTCTGTTATCGTATGAGTAGTTTTTGAAAATAACCTCCATTTTAAGATTACGAATTATTTAAGTTTTTTTGATTTATTCGATATAAGGGTGTATTTTATGTTTCCCGATCCATAAATTTTGAAAATGACATCCATTTTATGTTTACGCCACTGTATTTTGACTTATTTAAGTTTTTATAATTTATCAAATATAAAGTTCTACTTTTATGTTTCTGGAGCAGTAGATTTCCCCCATTTTGTAAATGACCCCATCTCAAGTTAATGCCACTGTGTTTTGGATTCTAAAAGTTTTTTTTTTGTACTTTTTTGGTATAAGGATCTACTTATATGTTATCGGAGACGTATTGAAATTTTTCTAATCTTTAATATTTAAATTTATCTAATATTTAATCTCCATTTTATGATTAAGCCGCTGCATCTCGATTAATTAGGCTTCATTTTGGATTTTTTCAATACAAAGTTTCATCAATATGTTTTGAGTATGAATAAATAAATATTATGAAGCTAAAGTTAAATTAACCACAGAATACAAACTAAAAAGCCGAAAAGCAACTGGTAATAAATTTAACCTACCGTATTCAGATTTTTCAGCTAATTGTTCGAAAATTTTATAATTTTGTTACAGGAGACCACATTAAAAAAGATAACTAAAATTAAATTAAAAATGAAACAATACATATTTTATTTATTTCGATTAGATATTTTTATTTATTTATTGAAAAATAAATTAATCCTTCGTATTTTGTTTTTTAAACGAAGGAAAAATCAAAAAATCTTAAAAAAATCAAAACGCAGTGGCCTAATCTTAAAATGGAGGTCGTTTTCAAAATCTACGGCTCCGGAAACATAAGAATACACCCTCATATGAAAAAAAATCCTAAAAACTCAAATAAGTCGAAACGCGGTGGCCTTATCTTTAAATGGAGGTCGTTTTAAAAACTAGGTACAGGACAGCATAATACTAGTCCCTAATAAATCCGAATAGGTACAATAAATCGATATCCGTAAATGAAAATTCTACTTAGGAGAGCATAATAATAGACTTTCATATTGGAGGGGGGGAGGGGATGACCATTATTTAAAAAAATGTATAAAATTTACAAAAAATGAAAACAGTTGAATTTGAATTGGAAAAGGTTTAATTTGAAATGGAAATGGTTGAATTTGACTTGGAAAAAGTTTAATTTGATCTGGAAAAAGTTGAATTTGACTTGGAAATAATTGAATATGACAGAAATTTTACACTGAAAAAATCTAAAATGTTAAAATAAATGGATATGCAACCGCGTTATCAAATATTTTTTTTGTATTTTTCAAAAGCTATGCCTTCGATAATGTAGTAAGTGGCCTTCATTTCGAAAAAAAATCGAAAATTGACTTGGAAATGTTATAAATAAGAAGTAAAAGCATATTTCACAGGAGTGGGATTCTTTGAATCTCTTACCAAATATTGAGTATAATTTTGAATTTGAATTTGATTTAACTTTGTCTTTCTTATTTTAAACATATCTCAAATAAAAAGCATTGAGGGAAGTTGGTTGGGATTGCAGTCTTTGGAAGTACACAAAAATAAATTATATTTATTTACTTTGTGACAACATTTCGGCCTAAGTTTCAGGCCCTCATTAGGACGTGCTTAGCCTTTTTGTTAATAAAACCAGATAAATAGCCAGATAAATAAAATCTCTCAGAGAACATATAAAAAATTATTATCTGGTCTTTGATAAGTCTTGATGAAGGCATGAAACTTGAGCCAAAACGTTGGCTCAAAGAATTGCTTTCAATGATTGCAATCCACAACCAACTTCTCTGAAAAAAAAAAATATATATATATAATTGCACCACTTTATCTGCACCACTTAATGTAGATCTTGCAATAACAAGATCTACATTGAAGGGAAATCATTCCTGAGGTTAGAAAAATTCAAATATCTCGGCTCCACAATAATCACAATGAATGACCAACGGGCAGAAATAGACCAGCGTATAACTAGCGCAAACAGAGCTTTTTTCTTCCTTTCAAAGTTATTAAAACCTCATGTTAAGGATGTACAATGCTACGATAAAGCCAATTCTAATATTTGGCTGTGAGACCTGGACACAAACCAGCACCCTAGAAAAAAGTGTTGGAAGATTTATGAAAAAAATCCTTTGCACAATAACCAGAGCGATCTGAGATCAAAGTAATAACACAGGGAGAAAAAAGACCAATAAAAAACTGCTTACAGAAACTGGTCAATCAATATCACATGATGTGAAGGCACGGAGGTTAAGATTGGCGGGGCATGTAGCTCATAGCAATCCATCTGGAAGCCTCTACGTAACAATGAATGCCTCAATATAAGGCAAAAGACCATGTGGAAGGCCAAAAAGCAGATGGATAGATAGAATCAACCAAGATGCAATAGAGCCACATACAGATAAATGGAAAGAAATAGCCCAAGACAGGCAGAGATAGAAGCAGGCTTGTTAAGGTGAAAAACGATCTACATGATCTGTAATGCCTACAGAAAAAAATATGGCAATAGAGTGTGATATATATTATATATTTTTAAAGAAATAAAAAACTTGTCCAAACTGTGGTTTCGTTTATTTATTTTATGTTGATAAAAAATAATACAACCTTAACTACAGAATAAATTTAAATTACAGTTATACAATTTTAGCAACAAATAGTACAATTAAATGAACGGTTATATAAGTTGTAAAATGGAGGTTGGTCTGCCGTTAGGTGGACAGGGTGTATCCACGTAGTATTTTTACATTTAAGTTGAAAGTACAATTTCAACAGTTTGTGAAAATCTTGATTTGCTTTTATCTAGTAGTATTCACCCATTAAGTTAAATAGTAATATTTGAAAAAATGTTCTTAAATTCTACATTTGGGTGCAGTTTACTTTCTTTCTTTACAATGTGAAAAAGAAGAAGTTTATCCATCATATAGAACAACATGAAACAGTATCCATGAATTGAAAAGGTATTCATGAAAATAGTTAAGGAAAGTAAAACAGTACAAAAAAAAAAAAAAAGAATATGAAACGAGACGAGATATGTGTGTTGAGAATGATTATAGTCTAAGTTAGTCAAATTTTAAAATCATTTATTGGGCACAGTATTATTGGCATTTTTTGTGATGAGAAGTCCAGGAAAAAAAGGAATTTCTAATTTCACATCTAACAGTAAAGAAACAGCAGATTTTTTAAGAGTTAAAATACAATTAGGAAATCAAAGATTTTGTTGGGAATAAGAGCAAGGTCATCAAATATATTAATAATCGAGATGTCATTCAGGTTGTTATGTGGGCATGGAAGAGTTTATTACTGTCAAGAGACCATTAAAGTTGGACAGGTCAGTTTTAAAGGAATTACCCAATATGAATATGATTGAAATATTTGCTATGGAAAAAAGGATTTACAATATGCAACAAAATTCTATGAGGTTCAATGGATTACCAAGTTTCTTCTAAATATAGAATATAGATACATTGTTTAAAAGACTTATCAACATTAAGAGAGATTCAAATATAAATTTCAAGAATATTAAAGATTACATTTTATATAGGAAAGGGAATTAGTCTAACTTTGTATCTCTTATATAGAATTATACATATATAATTATATCTCTTTAAAACCTTTATCTTTTTTTTTTTTTTATGATTATGATTATTTTTTTCTCTATAAAGATGTAATTTTTTTTAACTGTAAAGGTTAAAATGGATTCATTTAAAAAGGAATTTGTCAAAACAATCCTGTTTTGTTTTGGGTGACTGAATAAAACTGTTCTTATATGCATTTTTTATCCTTCTTGGGATATTGGTATCGAGTCAATGGACTAAGCATCAATCTCCTTACTCCTGTTGACTTCGACTTTTTTATCATGAGTTTTCTTTAGTACCTCGGGTCTGTTATAGGATAGGCAACAGTAGTGATTTTTAATTAATTTTCTCTTCTTTGAGATATCCAGGGTGCACATGGTTTTATTAACTGGACGCGATCACAATTCACTCCCCCTTTATCTAAGAAGCCTCAATCCCAGTAAGGGCAGAATGCGCATCTTCACTATGAAGAAAAAGGTGGCAATAAGCTACCCAAAATTAATGGTATCCAACTAGCCTCTATTAAGAAAATGAAGTACCTAGGTTTTATACTGGACCATAATCTAAAATGGAATAATCATGTGATAAACACAACCAAAAAGCACTGAAATAACTCTAGGCCCACAAAAGTGCTGTAGGGAAATCATAGGGGCTTAAACCATGAATGGTCTACTGGTTATATATTACAGCAGTTAGGCCGATGCTTTTATATTCAGCTGTGGTCTGGTGGCATCGAGTAAGAATTGGCTGCAACAGAATATAGCGCGACAAACTGCAAAGATTAGCATGATTAATAATGAGTGCTATAAAAACTACTCCATCTGCGGCAATGGAGGTAATGCTGGGCTTCTATCCAATGAATTTAGAGTTAGAAATACATGCCTTACAAACTTTATAGGCTAGCAAAATTAAAATCATATTCGGGGGCATTTTCCCATAAAGAACACTAAAAAATATTTCAGAGAACTTAAATGAGATGTT